TTTCCCCCCCCATTTTTTTTTCAAAAAGGGCCCCACTCCATGGAGTACCCGTCCGGGGCCCCCCAGGACCCCGTTCTTAATGGGGTAAATTTGGCAAATGATACCCCTTCCCTGGAGGCCCACCCCTTTTTTGGGGGGCCCCCCCCTTTTGCTGCAACCTACCCCGCCTTCAGGCAGTACCCCCGGATGGCAGAAAAATCCGGGGGATGGGCCACCCCTTTTGGGCGCCTAAGTTCTTCATGGACCCCCGGAGGAGTACCCCGTTTTTCGGACCTAACCCAGTCCGGGCCCCAACCTCTTTGAGCCTCCCCGTCCTTTTCATCACCCTACCCCGTTTTTTGGGGGCCCCCCATCTTGTGCTGGGGCCACCCCCCCTTTTGGGGCCCACCCCCTTGGATACCACCCGCCTTTGCATGGACCACCCAGTCGCGGGCCCCCGTCTCTGGGGCGTACCCAGCCGTGGGACCCCGCTCTTGATCACCAACCCCCCTTTTAGGGGGGGCCCCCCCGGTCAGTAACTCGGACCCTACCCCGCCTTTAGGACCAAAAGTTCCTTTTGGCATAAGCCGTAGGCGTTTTTTTGCCCCAAACCTTTTCAACCTCCCCTCTTTGAAGGGCCTACCAGTGTCTGTCATGGTAGCCTCCCAGTCTCTGCATGGTAGCCTACCAGTCTCTGTGCATGGCAGCCTACCCAGTCTCTGTGCATGGCAGCCTACCCAGTCTCTGTGCATGGCAGCCTACCCAGTCTCTGTGCATGGCAGCCTACCCAGTCTCTGTGCATGGCAGCCTACCCAGTCTCTGTGCATGGCAGCCTGCCCAGTCTCTGTGCATGGCAGCCTGCCCAGTCTCTGTGCATGGCAGCCTCCCAGTCTCTGTGCATGGCAGCCTACCCAGTCTCTGTGCATGGCAGCCTACCCAGTCTCTGTGCATGGCAGCCTACCCAGTCTCTGTGCATGGCAGCCTACCCAGTCTCTGTGCATGGCAGCCTACCCAGTCTCTGTGCATGGCAGCCTACCCAGTCTCTGTGCATGGCAGCCTACCACAGTCTCTGTGCATGGCAGCCTACCCAGTCTCTGTGCATGGCAGCCCTACCCAGTCTCTGTGCATGGCAGCCTACCCAGTCTCTGTGCATGGCAGCCTACCCAGTCTCTGTGCATGGCAGCCTACCCAGTCTCTGTGCATGGCAGCCTACCCAGTCTCTGTGCATGGCAGCCTACCCCAGTCTCTGTGCATGGCAGCCTACCCAGTCTCTGTGCATGGCAGCCTACCCAGTCTCTGTGCATGGCAGCCTACCCAGTCTCTGTGCATGGCAGCCTACCAGTCTCTGTGCATGGCAGCCTACCCAGTCTCTGTGCATGGCAGCCTACCCAGTCTCTGTGCATGGCAGCCTACCCAGTCTCTGTGCATGGCAGCCTACCCAGTCTCTGTGCATGGCAGCCTACCCAGTCTCTGTGCATGGCAGCCTACCCAGTCTCTGTGCATGGCAGCCTACCCAGTCTCTGTGCATGGCAGCCTACCCAGTCTCTGTGCATGGCAGCCTACCCAGTCTCTGTGCATGGCAGCCTACCCAGTCTCTGTGCATGGCAGCCTACCCAGTCTCTGTGCATGGCAGCCTACCCAGTCTCTGTGCATGGCAGCTACCCAGTCTCTGTGCATGCAGCCTACCCAGTCTCTGTGCATGGCAGCCTACCCAGTCTCTGTGCATGGCAGCCTACCCAGTCTCTGTGCATGGCAGCCTACCCAGTCTCTGTGCATGGTAGCCTACCCAGTCTCTGTGCATGGTAGCCTACCCAGTCTCTGTGCATGGTAGCCTACCCAGTCTCTGTGCATGGTAGCCTACCCAGTCTCTGTGCATGGTAGCCTACCCAGTCTGTGCATGGTAGCCTATCCAGTGTCTGCGCATGGTAGCGTACCCAATGTATGCATGGTAGCCTACCCAGTTTCTGTGCATGGTAGCCTATCCAGTGTCTGCGCATGGTAGCCTATCCAGTGTCTGCACATGGTAGCGTACCCAATGTATGCATGGTAGCCTACCCAGTGTCTGTGCATGGTAGTTTTGCAAGTTTTAACATCATTATGCACCCCATACCCATCCTGTGGCCGGTAGTGAAAAGATCCTAGAGGTACTCTGACTTTTTGGGGTTATCCTAGGTTCTCTACACATACCTGGGGTTTACCTGGAGAGAGTTCTGGGGGTCAACGCCCCCCGCGCCCCGGTCTGTGACCAGGCCTCATGGTGGATCAGGGCCTGATCAACCAGGTTGTTACTGCTGGCCGCACGCAATCCAATGTACAAACCACAACCCGGCTGGCCAGGTACCGACTTTAGGTGCCTGTCCAGTGCTATGTATGATAATCTATTGAACTGTATTTGTGTATACCTGAATAAACTTAGCATAATGGGTCCAGGGACTGGGCCCCAAAGTTTTGACAGTTGTACATGGTAGCCTACTCAGTTTCTGTGCATGGTAGCCTACTCAGTTTCTGTGCATAGCAGCCTACCACCCAGTGTCTGTACATGGCAGCCTACCACCCAGTGTCTTTGTGCATGGCAGCCTACCACCCCGTGTCTTTGGTGCATGGCAGCCTTACCACCCCGTGTCTGTGCATGGCAGCCTACCACCCAGTGTCTGTGCATGGCAGCCTACCACCCAGTGTCTTTGTGCATGGCAGCCTACCACCCAGTGTCTTTGTGCATGGCAGCCTACCACCCAGTGTCTGTGCATGGCAGCCTACCACCCAGTGTCTGTGCATGGCAGCCTACCACCCAGTGTCTGTGCATGGCAGCCTATCACCCAGTGTCTGTGCATGGCAGCCTACCACCCAGTGTCTGTGCATGGCAGCCTACCACCCAGTGTCTGTGCATGGCAGCCAACCACCCAGTGTCTGTGCATGGCAGCCAACCACCCAGTGTCTGTGCAAGGCAGCCTACCACCCAGTGTTTCTGTGAATGGCAGCCTACCACCCAGTGTTTCTGTGCATGGCAGCTTACCACCCAGTGTCTGTGCATGGCAGCCTACCACCCAGTGTCTCTCTGCATGGCAGCCAACCACCCAGTGTCTGTGCATGGCAGCCAACCACCCAGTGTCTCTGTGCATGGCAGCCTACCACCCAGTGTCTCTGTGCATGGCAGCCAACCACCCAGTGTCTGTGCATGGCAGCCTACCACCCAGTGTATCTGTGCATGGCAGCCTACCACCCAGTGTCTTTGTGCACGGCAGCCTACCACCCAGTGTTTCTGTTCATGGCAGCCAACCACCCAGTGTCTCTGTGCATGGCAGCCAACCACCCAGTGTCTGTGCATGGCAGCCAACCACCCAGTGTCTCTGTGCATGGCAGCCAACCACCCAGTGTCTCTGTGCATGGCAGCCTACCACCCAGTGTCTCTGTGCATGGCAGCCTACCACCCAGTGTCTGTGCATGGCAGCCTACCACCCAGTGTTTCTGTGAATGGCAGCCTACCACCCAGTGTTTCTGTGCATGGCAGCCTACCACCCAGTGTTTCTGTGCATGGCAGCCTACCACCCAGTGTCTCTGTGCATGGCAGCCTACCACCCAGTGTTTCTGTGCATGGCAGCCTACCGCCCAGTGTCTCTGTGCATGGCAGCCTACCACCCAGTGTCTTTGTGCATGGCAGCCTACCACCCAGTTGTTTCTGTGCATGGCAGCCTCCACCCAGTGTTTTGTGCATGGAGCCCACGCCCAGTGCTCTGTGCATGGCAGCCTCCCCCAGTATTTCTGTGATGGCAGCCAACCACCCAGTGTCTTTTTGATGGCAGCCTACCACCCCGTGTTTCTTGCATGGCGCCTACCCCCAGTGTCTTGTGCATGGCAGCCTACCCCTGACCTTTTGTTTAATATAATAATATCTTTATTTACTACCAGTACATGTACAAGGTATACAGTCCATAGCTGACATCAATGACATACTACTATATAGAAAGCCGCTTGTTATTACCTGGAATTTACCTGGAGAGGGTTTCGGGAGGTCAAGATTAAGTCAGTTTTGTCCCAGGATGCGACCCACACCAGTCCACTAGCACCCAGGTACCCATTTTACTGATGGGTGAACATTGGCAACTCAGTGTAAAGAAAACACGTCCAGCGTTTCCAACCCTTCGCCGGGAATCGAACCCGGACCCTCACCGTGTGAAGCGAGAGCTTTTCCCACCAGGTCACGGGGCGAAAAGTCGTCACTGAAGTTCCCATGTATAAAACGTCTCCACTCGCACCACTTTGGAACCTTTAGTAAGTTTATATAGGTAGATACATATAGTTACATAAATTACCATACATAGCAATATATGTGTAGATTACCTAGGATTGGCCCCAAAAAAGTCAAAGTGACTTATTTCCATTTAGAACCGACGAGGATTAAGGATTTTATTTATTTGCATAGTTTACAATTTGTAATTACAATTTTAATTTGTTTAGTGCAAAGAAAGTCACTATTATGCCGGGGCATTTTGGGCAAGGTTACATGTATGGTGTTAGGTGTCTAAGGTACGGATAGTTATAATGAAGTGTTAGTGTTTAAGTGGTTCACAACTGAAGTACCCAGGGTCGAACCTGGGACGAGTGGAAGTAATGAACATGTTTCATTACACCTGTTGACCCAAGTTCACCTACCAGTAATTAGGTACCTGGGTGTTAGGTGACTGTACTGGGCCTCATTCAGTGTACTAATGCCACAAAGGGTCATTATCAGATCACACGGGTTAGTTTAGTTTAATATCGTTATTAAGCACACAGCAATGTTATATAGCAATAATAATAGCCAGTTCATATATTACAATTACTTCAATATGGAGATACAAGACACCTCCCCCCCCCCTTTCCAAAAAAAAAAATCTACCTGGGTTACTGACCTGACCTGTAAACTCTGTTTTTCCAACCATAACATTAAATTATCCAGTTGTACAATACACCGAGTGTTAAACCCGTATGAATAATATATTTAGCCGCTCAGGAGGCATAAAAAAAATTCACGTACAACATACCCTATGAAAGTCGAAGTCCCTAATGATGGGGTACTTGGGGCAGGTACCCGCACGGGCCACACCCACCATGGCAGCTACCACCAGCAGTAACACTCTCATCCTGACAGATATGAACCACAGAGTGAGGAATAAGAGCAGCAGACGAGGCAGCAGTGGTTAAAACAACCTCCTCCTCCCTCAGTGTTCACACACACACTGATCTTCATGCCTTCTCACTTCCTCCTCCTCTGCCTCGAGCCACAAATTTCTATATATTCAGGTCCTGGTTTCTCGAAGGTTCATTTTTTTTGGGTGGGGGGGGGAGGGTGTTTCACCTGTGTTGAGAACCCATGTATGATAGCTGCCTGTCCTACTCTACACACGGAAATGAGAGTAAAATAGCGATATTGTAATCTCTGTAATCCCCGTAATCTCTAACACCTAGGAAATGGGAATTAATCCAGGGGTATTATAGCTCAGATATCTCGGATCAAGAGCTCTTCCCCGGCATCAAGACACCCTCATTGTTGGCAAGAATACAGAAGAGATATAAAATACTTTTTTATATTCGTATCTGGCTTTATAGAGGATACCAAGTTCCTCGCTAGTGTTAATTAAATTATTATAATTAATTATTATTATTATTATTATTTCACACTTGGGGTGTTGTAGGTATGAGCCAGACTGTTACACTGTACATCAGGCCCATACTGGAGTACGCAGCACCAGTAGGGAACCCACACCTGGTCAAACATATTAACATTATTATAATCAAGGGGAAGCTCTAAACCCGGAGGATTATACAGCGCCTGGGGGGGGGGGGATGTGGAAGGCATTCAGGCTTAATTCGGGGAACTGGAGCACAGATCCAATTCCCTAAATCAAGAGCCCCTCACCAACATCAAGGAACCTTCCTTGCGGGGCAAACACACGTTAAGAAATTAGAGAAAGTGCAAAGGTTTGCAACAAGATTAGTCCCGGAGCTAAGAGGTGTGTCTTATGAGGACAGGGGAGACATGATAACGACATATAAAATACTGAGAGGAATTGACAAAGTGGATAGTAACAATGTTTCAAAGATGGGAAGTAGGAAAAAGAGGGCAGAACTGGAAGTTGTAAACTCAGATGAGTTAGCGGGATGTTAGGAAGTATTTCTTCAGTCTTAGAGTTGTCAGGAAGTGGAACAATCTGGAGAATGATGTAGTGGACGCAGGATCCATACATAGCTTTAAGAAGAGGAACGATAAAGGCTCTTGTAGTCAAAGTGGACCTAATAGCTACCAGCAAAGTGGGGCCAAGAGCTGTGACTCGACCCCTGCAACCACATATAGATAAGTACACTATTAATTTAATACAATACCTACTTCATTATATAAGTATTAATTCTGGTTATCATAAACACAAAGATTACTTTCAATATATTTAAAAAATCTGGGTTGCAAGCCTTGTTGTTGCAAGGTGCAACACAAGTGTTCCACTCACTAGTTTTTCCGTTCTAATTCTCACAGGAGACATCATTCTCACATAAATAACTGGAGTACTCATCTCTACATTATTCATGGGACGCTAAGCCCGTAGGGGTCACGCAGCGCCTGGGGTATGGGAGGCAATCACGTTTGATCCCTGAAATGGGAGTTGTATTTTATTATAATTATACATGTACTTGTAGAAATCATCATCATCATCATCATAACTAATCGTTAAACCCATCAGGGTCAGACATAATTGATCCAATTCCTTGATGAACGATCCCTTTCCAATGGAAATAAACCATTGACTTTTTCAATTCAATTCAATTCAAAGTTTATTCTCTATAAGGATTACAATGCTGAGTTTACAGAATTTGGTTATTGTGTGGTTTACATGTAGTAAAATAATGATTACAGAGTGTACCTAGATTATAATCAAAAAGAAGCGCTAAACCACAAGGGTTATACAGCAACAGAGTGTACCACTAAAACACCTAGCTAGGGTTATCTTAGGTAATTTACACTATGTATGATAATTGTACTTAACAAGTTACTTAGGTACAGGTACATATGAAGTAGTTATCATACATAGTGTAAATTACCCAGGATAACCCCAAAAAAAAGGTCATGTACCCGTGCCAGTGGAAATAAGTGACTTTAGGGGTTATCCTAGGTAGCTTACACATATGTTACTGTGTATGATAATTTGTATTCAGTTATTTGTGGTTGCAGAGGTCGATTCACAGCTCCTGGCTCAGCCTCTTCACTGGTCGCTACTAGGTTCACTCTCTCCCTGCTCCGTGAGCTTTATCGTACCTCTTCTTAAAGCTATGTATGGATTCTACCACCACTATATCACTCTCCATTCTGTTCCACTTCCTCTGTAACTGTACTTATGTGTACCTGTACCTAAATAAACAACTATATTATTATTGCACTGAAAACTAAAGCGCTAAAACCCATAGGGTTACTTATAATCCCTCCCCCCTTGGATAAACCTCATCTCTACCAATCTCAAAATTGTTAAATTTTCTAATATGTTAATGTTGCTTTCCTCATACCCAGGTGTTTGTGTAGGCAGAGATACAAATTTCTCAATGACTTGCAGCTGTGATAATCAGGCGTTTTATTGCATGCCTTGTAGGAAAACAGCAGTGTGAAAATGCATATTTAACCCAAACAATGCTTGTTTGAGCACCACTGTGCTCTGATAGATAATATGGTCTATCACTAGATTATTATTATTATTATTATAATCAAGGGGAAGCGCTAAACCCGGAGGATTATACAGCGTCTATCACTAGAGACCTGCAGTGGTAGGAGGAAGATGCAAGAGAGAATGACAAGTCATAACCTAACCCTGTAAAACCATTGTGTGTAATAGAATGAGAATATGATGATTATAATCAGAAAGCAGCGATAAACCAACGAGAATAGGAGACTATAAGAGAATGAGAGATTATCAGAACATAAGAGAAAGGAGGAACACTGCAGCAGGCCTACTGGCTCATACTAGGCAGGTGAAAGTATGAGAGAAAATGAGAATGAGAACTCATAATTTACTCCTGTAAAACCATTGTGTAAATAATAAAATAATGTGAGAGAGTATGAGAAAGTATCAGTGAATATGAAAGATAGAATAAGGGACTGTAAGAGAGTATGAGAGGGAATGAGAACTCATAATATAACCTTGTAAAATCATTGTGTAAATAAGGAGAGAGAGATGTGGGGGTGGGGGACCAGAAATGTTAATGCTTTAGCAGTGGTAAGAATTTATGTTGGAACCTGGGGATCAGGTGAATATCCTGGGGGAGGGAATTTGATTCCAAACTATGAAGAACCACATGGTAAATCTTGCTAGCAAGGTAGCCAAGAAGCTAGGAGCACTGACATATTTCTTGTATCTGCTCAGCAGTAATGGGTGTAAGACTCTGTAATGATGCCCAAGTGCACTCACACCTTGAGTATGCTCCACTTTCCTGGATTGCCTGTCTCCCATCTCATCCACTTCTTGAAAGAGCAGAATAAGACGACTTATCTCTTGCCTGGACAGATCTGTCATTCCAGCAGAGTCTTCAAACCAGAGATGTGGGTAGCCTTACCATTATGCACATTACATTATTATTATTACAATCAAAAGTAAGTGCTAAACCCACAAGGGTATGTACAGGACAAGGTACCACACTTGGCTCCACTTCACAGACAGTGAGAAGATAGCTTGTATATGACAAGACAGGCAGCAAACAACAGCTACACTCTGGCTATACCCTTCCCAAGAGCATCATATCATCTGAGATCATTCATTCCTAGAATGACTCCAGTCTGGAACATGTTTATACAGCATGACACCAATGAAATACAGTCAGTTCACCAAATGAAATCACTGGTCCACAGATGGCTCCAACCTCATCCTGTTCCTTATTTGTATGTCTCATAACAATAAAAAAAAATCTTTCAAATACAGTGAGGTAACAGCTCTTAGCTTGTAAATAAAGGTAAGAACTTTTAACCTAACCCTGTAAAAATCTTTGTGTCAAAAACAGAAGAGACATGAATCATTTAATCATAAGCATTAATGTCATTAATATTTTTTGTGGTACAGTACAGGAGAGCCCCACTTTACAGTGCTTTGCTTTATGATTTATTCAGAGTTCCTATAATAAATATAAGCTAAGGATGAAAATATTTTAAGGTAAGTAATAAGTGTACTGTATATGCATTTTTAAGGCCTAACTTTATTGCTCGCTTAATATATGATAGTATAAACATGTAATTAGGCTTTTATAGCCCAGAACCTAACCTGCTGTATAAGCGAGGCCTTCCTGTAGTAGGGAAAATGCTTCATGGCAAAAGAAAAGTCATAGTGGCATACAATGGAATTTTTTATTAGTTTCAAACTGGTGCCATGTTGCACATCAACTTAGTACACAGCAATGATGCACAAAGCAGTCCATTACTCAACATATTACAACAACAACAATGTGACAGATGTACACTTTGAACTGTTATAAGTTGAACACTTATACCAGAGAAACACTTTGACACAAACCTAACATGGCTATGTGGCCCCTATATTACCATTAACTGATAGGTTGCCAAAAATGTAACTATATATATAAAAAAATTTCATTATATACTAATCTGCATAATACTGTAGGGGATTACGTTTAATTTTTCTCTGTTAGGCCATAAGATGGATGGCAAGAACAGAAAGGGGATGGAGTGGGGTAGGACAGAGCATTGAAAAAAAAAAATTGTGAGTAAACAGGAGAAAGATTAAGTGGCCTGATCACTTTGGATGATTGTGAGCGAGTGGTTTTTGTCACACAGTGATGAATGCAGACTTATACATATATATTTTGTGCTTGGAAAAATATTTTACTATCCAATGAAAATACAGTACTGTGGAATATCATGAATCCTACTTAAGTGTTTTATTTATAAAAACTAAAAAGTACATTATGGCATGCAAAAAATGTAAATTAGTATATATGTGAGACAAATGGAGGCTTATCACAATAAAGTGATCAATTATTATTATGTAAAGCACTAAACCTGTGTGGGTCATTCTGTGTAGAGTGATGAAGGCTTGATCATCCACCTGCTAGACACATGTTATAGGTGCCCCTTGACTTACGATGGGGTTACATTCCGATGAACCCATTGTGAGTTTAAAGTATCGTAAATCGAATATGAATACTATATGATAAATAAATAAATAAATAATTACTGTCACTGAATAAGTGAATAAACAAATAATT